GGCTGGGCATTTTATTCCTCAGATGATTTAACTAATCTAAAGAAGCTGAGACAAGACATTTTTTCATTCAAATCCTAAAATCCAAAACGCAGTTATGTCGATGTATGGCGCAAAAAGTTTATCTTAATTCGCAATGAAATCAAAACAAGAATATTTTTTTTTTAACAACAACGATTTTCAATTTCCATTGCTTTCCTTCATTCTTCTTTTTCTCAAAATCAGAGAAATTCTTATTTTAAATTAAATAACCTCAAACCCTTATTGAGCTGTCTCATTGTTCTTCCATCCCTCTGTTATTGGCATTCAAATCCCACTTCTGACACCAAAATTGTTGCCGACGGGTTCGTATGAAATGAATGCACAAGTCCGATGAAAAATGAACAAAAATTTATTATTATCACAACAAAATGCTTAAATTTCTCAAATTATCATCAGTATTACAATATCTCACAGTAGTTATCTTTTAACTACTCAAATATCCAATAGAACGTAATTCAAAACAGCTAAAGAACGCTAATCCGCGAATTCGCTACAATCAACAAGAGCAGTTTTCTAAACAACAACAAACTAAGCAAGCAACTACTACGAACTGAGATGTTGTCCTCCTTTTAAGATTTTAAAATCACGCGCTAGAATTTTCCAGTATTTCTCGAAATCAAAAGAGATATTATTTATTTAATGCACGCGCTCTTGTATTCAATTTTCCGGCTTAGCTTCTTAATATTCGTCACGTGCTGCACTGCGCGAGAAATAAAACCATTTAATTATAATTGAACTAACATTAGCTTTTTAAATACCAATTCGTAACAGTATAATATTTCGTTCATATTATAATCATAATGTACAAAATTTAGATTTAAAGAATAGAATATCTAATCGTTGCCACATGTTCTATCAAATACTATAATAAAGCTAGAATAAGTATAAAGGAAGTAAGCAAACAAAACAAAAGAAAAGTTTTCACAGACGATTGAGTATTCTCATTCAATTAATTCAGTTCTCACTTCGCGAGAAGGCAAAAATACATAGAAACAAAATATCTATATTAAAAAGTACCAGGCAAATCTCAAACACTTATTCCTCGAAAAAATTCCAGAAAGAATTAGGCATGATTTAATTGGCAATAATAAATGAATATCTTTGTTGTTGCGAAGCTAAGTTTCTCTAGATTGGCAACAAATCCACTAGTCTGCTGTTTCAATGTAAACAATTAATGGCCATAAAAAAAAAAAAAAAAAAGCTTACCGGCACTTTAAAATGTTGATAATTTTAAAAAAGATGCATACAGATTTAGTAAAGGAAAAAAAACTTAACCGGAAGATAAAAACAACATAATTCAATCATTTTTAAAGCAAAAATGTACAATTTACAAACATATACGAGTAAGAAACTGAGTTACTGAGTCGAGTAACAGAGTGGATATATATATAAATATACTTATATACGTTGGTGCGGCCGATTGCAACCAAAATACGAGGTGAACACCTACATGTTTTAGAAGTCTCCTATATACCAAATTTCAACGTTCTGAGACTGGTCATTTTTGAGTTATGCGAGAACACATACATACATACGTTCGTACAGACGCCACGAAAACATTGTTTTTCAGAATTACATTTTTAAATCAGTTTTATAATTCGTTTGGAGAAAAAGAGTCCTTTATTTCTGTTCCTTACTTACAGATGTCCACGCAAAAACATCTTTAAATTGCATTCGATAGCGGTCAAAATGGATATTTTCATTGAAATATGCTGCCTGAAACTTTTCGCGATTACAATACTTCCTTTTTACTTCGTACAAGAAAGTAAAAAGGAAAGGAAAATAGGTTGCTATTGAGAAGTTCGCCAAGTGAACTTATACTTGGCGCAAACTGAAAAGTATGTGCCAAAGATAAATTTTTGAATTTCTTCGTAAATTTCGCAGCATACCATATTTTACAAAACTTAATATTTATGCATAATTTGAGTCGTAAAATCGGGATATGAGGGGGAAAAAAGGGGGGCATGCCATTTCAGAGAGGTCCGATTTTGTTTCAAAATACCTATATTAGAACAATGCTATACATAAATCTTATATATATCGCAAGTCGCGTTTCGAGTCATGAAAAACGCCGTTTGAATTTCGTCAATCGGCCCAGTAGAACGGGATATATAGAACTGTCCTTTTTTTTTTTCGCAGTGTACATGAATGAAAATGCTTAGATAAAAAAACTTTAACCATTAAGTTCTACTGAATGAATGAAGTTATGGTAAATCATGGTTTATAATTATCGCTTAGTCAAAAAATTTCTTTATTTCTTAGAGATTCAGAAGATATTAAAGCGTAAAAAAGTTTAGTTTAAATCAAAGACTGTATATCATTAGCAAGAAATTTTCATTTGAACACAATTCTTTGTTATATATCTGATTTCCTTTTCCTCATCTGTCACATGAAGCAAAAGGCTGAGTTTTGTGATCAAATAATATGCAGGTATGTTAATTAATAAAAAAAATATTTTTTTTTTTTTCTCAATATAGGTATGGAAATAAGTCGATTTCTATCTTTTTTTTTTTTTTTTGGTTTCAAATAATAAGTTGTGTTGTTATGTCCAAAGCGAGTGCTAAGGAGAGGGAGAGAAAAACAATATAGGAAGAAGTATGGACAGAAAGTCAAATAGGGCCTAAGGCATAAAGCGTTGCCCTGGTCACGTCCTCAATTCTGTCCGTGAAAAGAATGTCTCTGGTCCAGCCAGAAAGCTGGACCAGAGACAATTTGGAATTTGGAAGAAGGCCTTGAAGGAATTTGTCAATTTGGAAGAAGGCCGCTTCGATGGCAGTACAGGCCAGGAGATGTCCGGGGTATATCTGTGTGTTCGGATAGTGCATACACTCCATGTATAACCTGGTGCCATAAGGCAGGATTTTCATGTCCCTCAGGTGCCCCGTTCTCAGTCTTGCAATTGTGGTTGTGACATCTCGGGTACAGTTTAACTCGGGTATTGAAAATTTCGGCCGCGGATGGGCAGACAGCTTCCGCTTTGCGACCATATTAACATCAGAAAATTCAAACAAGTATTTTTCTGAACTCTAAAGTTCCTTAAGATTAATTTGATTGTTGACTTCCCCCCTTTTTTTAGTGAATGTATGAATCAAAAAATCATTTCTTGTATACATAAAGTTTTCCAAACGTCTATAAACTTTATGTGGAACTATCACATTTCTCCATGCGTGTGCTTGGATGCACGTTATCCAGATACGAGCAGTTGGAAGGCCTATAACTCGAATCTTAGTTAGGGTCGTGCTGACTCTTCACACTTCTCATAAGGAAAATCTTCATAATCTCGAAAATTTTTTAAACATCAGTACTTCAGTGAGTTTACCGTAACGCAATAAGCCTAGAAATATGTAAAATTATTGAAATCAATATGAGATGTTTTATGTCCACCAAATGGTGTTGTGTTATAGAATTTTTAATATAGATGACAGTTTATGAACTTTATTTCAAAAGGTGGAGATTTGTTGCAAAACAACGCTAAATTCTCACATGAAAAAAAGTCAGGTGTTAGATTTTGCGACACACATACAAGAAGAAGCATAATTCCATGCTTCTATTTACCCTCAGCGTTTGGCTAAATTGAGTACTAAGTTGTCACTTATAGTATAAGTAAACACACGAATCTTTAGATAAATAAAATACCGCGATATTTGATTATGGGACTATCTAAAGTCACAGGTCGGTTAATTGAAATGGCATATATTAGTGATTCCCATAAAATGCTTATCACTATTGCTTTACTTATCGCTGAATAATGATGACTAATATGTTCATTATCTGTTATGTAGTATTTTGCTTTATTTTAAGGATGAAACGCATGTTGAAGTACGTAACTGTAATGTGGAAATTTGCATAATAACTTTGATGATTTGCATTTCTCTTGTTAGGTTAGATTAGGTTATTCGAATATGGCAAAGCAGGCATGAGCTATCCACCTAGGGAAAAAATGCATTTGTGGAAGAACTTTCCAAAGGGAAATTGGTTCGTATTTACGTTAGACATGTAAAAACAATGACAACAAACCATGCAGCTAGCCTGTTCTTTGAAACTAAATCCAGATCGAACTTCCGAACGAATGGCATAGAAACGAGTTTTAGCGAAAGTTGTGTTCTTATGCACTGGGAACTCGCTGAAATAAAAATATTAAAAAATATTTGACTTTTCTAACTCTGTGCATTCTCAATTTTTTCCCTTTTTCTTTTTTCGGAAAACTAGAAACACAACAACTGTGAGCTTCATTTCATGAATCATTCCTCATTAATATTTTTTCATATCTTCATCGCTTACTGAATACTTTAAATGTTACTGCTGGAAGTATTTCATATCGTCTTTGCTGTAAAGTTCTACATTGTTTGCGAAACTAAACTTTGTTGTTATATCCAGTATTAGTAGTTTTGCAAAATCTAGTTTAAACTGCAACGTAAAAACTAAAGCTCTTTAATTAATTCATTCACAGAACTTTTGCTAGGAACGTTTTCGTAGTTTTATCATTGAGTAATACATTATATCGTAGTATTACTCTTGTTATATTGAGCTGCGCTTTGAAATTTCAGTACAGTATTTTGAATACTAGCATAGCAACCACAGCTGGACACAACAGATACGGTTGCTATGCCATGAAGGTAACGTTATCAAAAACATATTCTCAAATGTAATTTTACTTTTGATTACCATGGTTATTATCTATATATCTTTGTAATAATGTAAATTTTATGTTAAAAAAATTTAATTTTGTGTTACGAATTTTTATTTATAATCTTAGCTCTTATTATCTATGAGATGACTAATTTTTTCTTGGTCAATGTTATTCTGAACTGGAGGTTTGGTATTTGGTAGTTAATTATTGTTACTGCATATTTTTACGTTTGGGCTGATGATGCATATTGGTAGTAAGTAAACATATTATCTATTCTGTTATAACATACAGGTTGAAAAGTTATTATTTGTATCTTTAAAAGCATACTTACTGTTAATGATATTATGCCTTTGAAGTCCTCTGTTGAACTGTGTAGGTGGTCTCCATTGTTGCTTCGGTTTCTGGTTTGCAGAATTTTGACTTTTGCCATCTTCTCCCACCAATATAGCTAAGGATAATGGAACTTCCTCTGGAACAGACTTTTGTGTTGTAGCAACAACCTCACTTGGTCGATATTGTGGCTGGGAAGCATAAAAATTATTTCGGCCTGGAGCAGAATTCGAATTGCTCTGTCTGTTTACATGGGATCCCCAGCTGTTGTCTGTTCTTGGAGGATTCTGCATGGGAGGAATTTGAGGATACGTCTGTCTGTGAGATGATTTAATTTCTTCTGGTCCATTGTGGTTACCAATTGGAGGTCTGGTATTTTGAAGTGGATTGTTATTACTCCATATTTTAACGCTTTGATCAGCATTTACTATTGGTGTGGTTGGCATGCTGTTCATTCTGTTATGATTGATATTCCAATTTGGGGGAACATTAGGCTGATTAGGAAGTTCTATTGGTCTAGGATGAGGTATATTAGGTCTGTTATAATCATACCGATTACCTTGGTACATAGCATCTTGATTATTTGGTATTTCAACTGGTCTTGGATGATTATTTTGTGTATTAATAGAAGGGTAACTAGGATGCCTATCGTGTCTCTGATTTGGGTGATCTAGAATTTCGAAAGGACGTTGAATCTGTATGGAGGGAGAGTGTTGTCCGTTAGAACCCCACATATTCATATTTCCGTTTTTTCGCTCTCGTGGTCTGTCTTGCAAACTCTGTGGCGTTGTAACAACTCGCGGTTCTGCGTTTTCTACAGCTGGTGATTTATAAATATTGTAATGAGGACCAGATATTGGTCTGTTGGAAGATTCGCGAATTTTACTGCCATCCCAGGGGTTAGAAACTTCGTGGATTTCTAATGGTTGAGATTGCAGTGGTGGATAAACATGAGAATGGCTAGGAACCGGCCTTGGTGCATCCCATGGTCTTCGCGGATTAGAATTGTCGACTAGTCTTTGAGGGTTCATAGGGAGAGGTTGAATTCTGTCTCTATCCTGATGGTTAGGCGAATCCTGGCCTTTGTTTCTTTGTAGCGTTCCATCATAACCTTCATTTCTATAATTTGGAGCAGAATATGGATTTCGTACTGATGAAAATGGATCTTTATTTCGTACTTCTGGCCATCTTTCGTTAACGTAGAATGGAGGGGCTCGATTCTGAGATGTTCTTGACGAATGAAATTCACTGAAACTTTTCAAATCTGGTCTAAGAAAAGATCCTTTCTCATTTTGATTTGAATGATACTGAGTTTTATTTATATTAGGTGAAAGGTTATTTTCTGTTGTTGTCTGGTCATTAGAAGGAAAAGGAGTCGTATACCCATTAGTGCTGTTAATTATATCTTCATTGTGAATGAAAGCAAATTTTCTACTGAAACTAGATGAAAGAGTAGGCTTTTGAATTGCTGCCTGTTTTGTAGGTGTATTGTTTTCTGATTTACTTGTGTAAGTTTCTTTGACTGGATTGTCAAATATCTGAATTTGAGAAGTCGAAGAATCAGACTGTTTCTCTGTTTCCGTAGATAAGGATTCCGTTGTATCTGTCGTTGTACCTGTAACATAATTAGTGCTCTGTGTGCGTTTATTTTCATCAAAACTGGAGCTGCTAGTTCCCATGGATATTTCTGCGTAAGTGGCAGAATCTTCTGAGATTGTATCCAGCTCGAATGCGTTCTCATTTTGATACGATTTTGACATTAAGTGTTCTTTCAAAACTGGTATATTTTCTGATTTATCAATATGTTGTCTATTTGTTAGTTTTTCTGTATTATCACTTTTCATCAGTGGCGTTGTTTCATGCTGGATTCCTTCCCGTTCAGTTGAAGAACTTTGATACAAACTGTATTCTTCAGAGTCAGTTTCCTTTGTTTCCGAATGACGATCAACTTCAGTACCTTTGTCACCATTGGAATTATTTTCGAATTCTGCAATGTTTCTATAAATTCCATAAACCCTTGTAGGGAAAGTGGTAGTGGGACTTCCTTGTTCTTCATCTAATGTATACTGATACTTTTCTGACTTATATATTTCTTTTCCTTTGTTATGTAATTGTTCAGATGGTGAGAAGACGATGGATGGGGAATCATCTTGAACAACAGCTCGAATTGAATCGACATTATCATGATCAAAGTAAACATCTTCATCGTCTAAAAGAGAAGGATTTGATATATTGTTGAAAGTTAAAGATATTTCTTCTTCTTCTTTCAGATCTCGCTTTTTTCTTCCATATGATGGACCTTTTCCTCCACATCGTACCTAAAATAAGATAAATTTTATGCAAAGGAGCAAAAATTATGTCAATAAATTACTAAATGAATTCTTTTCCAAACCAATGTAACCAGTGTATAACAAATAACCTAGTTGAAATATTTTCTTTAACGAGCATGTGGTGTGAATACACTTTCACGTATGAATGAAATTTTTTACGCGGATTTTGGGTCGAGATTATGAACATGTATATATATATATATATACCGTAATTTCCGGAAGAAACGCCGCGGCGTTTACGTGTTTAAAACTTAAATTTTCAGCGGGTGCGGCATTTTAACCCATGCGGCGTTTAGGTGCACTAAAAATAAAATATTTCCTATGATGGTCATTGTACATAGTTTGGATAGCCTCGTCATTGTGCATAGACTGGTGCTGTTCGCACACAAAAGACCACTCAGTTGCTTTTGCGAACGTTATTTTGTTTACATTCTTTCCCTTGAACGGACCTACATGCCTTTATTCACCCTAAACGAGATCTCAGAAACAATAACATTCTTCCCCCTTTCAAATCAACATTCTCATCAGTTTGAATAGTCTCTCTTCTCTGCCATTCGATGAATCTTCCAGGACCCATCCTCTCCCCACCCCTGCCTTTTCTGCAATTTTTTTCAAAGGCGGACACGACTTCACCTGCCTCGCAATAACGAACTCTGACGTATTTCCCCTTCAGCATGAATGGATTTATCTTGGCATTCTGCCAAATACAGATCCCATCAGTTTGGGTACAAGTACTTATTGGATAGCTTTTAAGTAAGAAGGGAGCGGAAAATTTTGGAAAATGTCTCTAAACGGCACAGAAACTAAACATTTCTTACCTTTAATTTATTTTTGAGTTATGGTTTCATTTCATGCATTTTTCTAAACTGGTATGTCATATATCAGGATTTTTGCATCTATACGGCCCACGACGATGTCACGCGCAATTTAATCTATTGCGGCGTTTACGCTGATGCGGCCTTTCTTCCGGAAATTACGGTATATGTATGCAATAATAAAATTCCATAGTCAAGAATACGCTTAAAATTTTAACTGTATGTTCTTTTCATTTTTAATGGCGACGGTCTCTTATTTAAAAGAACGTGGAATTAAATCCACAGCCCCGTAGTCAAGTTGTTTTTCCCGCCTTTTCTACACGTATAGTTAATAGAATGTTCCTGGAAATATTTAAAGCGAACTGGAATTGGCTGACGTCATTTCTTGGAAGCTCCGCCTTTCCAGAGGCGATAAAAGGACACGCAAAGGAATATCGGGGACTTTTCTTTAATGTCACGATGCAGTAAACTTCATACAAAAAGTTATTAGCAATTCTTTTTTATTTACTCAGGAGATCATATTTTTGTAATTGCTATTTCCCCAGGAATATAATAAATGGATCCTGTTTTTTAAACTTATCGTCTAATAATTTAAGTTACGACTACATCTATGATTCTTCACCAGACTATTTATTCCAGACAAAAGCTGGTACATCATATATATATTTAATATTAACTTCCGTTTTTAATTTTTTTATTTTTACAATTATATATATATATACATGCATTAAAAATTTTAAATTGGTTAATTTTTTAAAACTTGAATATATTTACTATTTTGATGATTTGTCAGACTCTCGAGAAATAGTTAGCTTTCCTAGAAAATTTAACAGTTGTTTTTATTAATCAATAAATTTAGACTCAGACAAGACAAGTAAAAATAAATTGAATTAATATTTACATTATTTTTTTGCATTACACTGCTTATTAATTTGCATATTGCTCTGAATTTTTTAACAGAAGACCCGTGCTTACATATTTTTTGTAGAATTATTTTCAAATCAAAGTTACTACTTAGACAGGACTGATTAAGTAAATCAGGAAACGGAGTTAGAAACTAAGTATACAAACAAATCTCAAGTCTTCGGATAAAAATAGGAGATGCTACTCTTTTTTTTAGACCTGACCAATTGTTTTTCATTCATTTTGTAAATATATATGTATGTATTTCTCTTTACGAGAAAATGTTTATATCTTGTTATGGCTTTTACACATTTTATAACTTGCTAGGAGATGTTTCGTTTTATCATTTTTTGTTTTTCATAGCATTTGTATTCTCTAAATTTCAGTTTCAGAATTTTGTTTCAGATGTAAAAAAAGTTGGACTGTTTTTTTTTTTTTTTTTTTTTTGAAGTTCTCTTTTAAATTTAAAAATGCAGAGTAAAAATAGAGCTAAATTTCCAAATGTATCCGTTTTGTTAAAAGATTGGAGAAATTTACTGAATGGAAAATAATAAGGAAATTCATTGCAAGTTGACAGATTATTTTTAACTCTATAAATTTAATAAATTGTGTACTGCTTTAAATTTACCTATGGCATCTTTAGTAATGTAATCTTATTTGTTTTATAAATAAAAGTGGAACCTCATAAAGTTCATTACTCCAGTGTTTGCTCTTTCGGTCTAATAACAACCACAACATATGTATGTATATATAAATAATAGTTAAGAAATTTCGAAATTAAGATTATTAATTAATAAAATGGCGCAGTATGCTGCGAAATTGATTACGTAACCAAGAGATAAAACTAAATCAAAAGTAAGTGGTCAGCAATCTAACAGGAAGAACACAAATCAAAATTGGGGGGGAGCAATAAAAATGATAATATAATGTAACAAATAGTTGAAAATGCTTTGGTCTTTTTTAAAAAGTAACCTAAAAATTTTCAGCAGAGACACGTCTCTGAATTATATCTGAATGATCACAAAAAGTGCAAACAAAACAAGCTTAAATTAATTGAAAATAAAAATAAGGTAGTTAAAATGTAAGGTAATTAAAATGTTTTAAAATAAAATTAAAAAGAAAAATATAAGGTTTTTGTAATTTTTTTTAAATAAAGTTAAAAAGAATAAAGGAGAAATTAAAATTAAATACTTTTTTTATTTTGTTTTCATTATAGGCACGGAGCGGATTATAACCTCATGATCGATTAAAAAATTTACTTTATTCCTCTCAATAAAAAAAAAAAAAAAAAAAAAAAAAAAAATTAATTTCCTTGCATTTTTTTTAGATAGAAGCTATGCGCTCTAGTGGAAGATTATTCCTATATCCTGTACTTTTAAGTGAAACACGTCCTTGATACATTGGTAAGGAAGTATTAATACAAGAATTTTCCTGCTTGAAGTACTGTAACCTGATGTAAATCCACAATGGGCCTTGCACTGATTATAATCATGCAGATAAAATGCAGAAACGTATCTCTGTTGAAAAGTTTTTGGTTGTTTCTTGAAAAGACAACAGAATTTTCAACTATTAGTTACATTAGTATTCTTATTGAGTTATTTTTTATTTCAGTTTTGATTTGTGGTTTTCTTGTTAGATTGTTGGCCCCTTAATTTTGATTTAATTATTATCGCTTGAATATATATATATTAAACTTAAACAAATTTATCAAACGATATAAGATACATATATATATTTAAATCATCTGTGAAGCCGATAGAGACAACACTAGGAACGGCGTTTGTGGTTTTAATTGAAATCGCTCAGTTACTATGAATTTTCCTTTACATGTTTTATTAAGATCATTATTTCATTCATTGGAAATTGCATTATAAAACACAGAAACATCAACCTTTGAAGTTTAGATATGTACTGAAGCAACATATATTAACTATCATGATTCTAGATGCAAAAACAGAATATCCAAAATATTAATTTTGTTGAAACACTTACTTGTTCGCACTTTTCTTGGCAAAAACGAATTTGGACCTCAAAATTAACCATACCCGAGGATGGGAATCGGAAAGCCTTGAATGTAGATAATAATGATTTTTGATCACTAGGATCTAATTGTAGGGCTGGGAAAATAGTAGGATCTGTTGGACACCTAAAATTAAAGAAAATGTTTTTATTATTGATATTTATAAAAAAAAAAACCGCGATAGTTTTATGGTAGGCATTGAAGAAATTTTAATAATTAATTTTTTTTTTTATTTTCGTGAAAAAGATGTTTTTCTAAATATTATCATTTTTTTTTTGGTATTCTAGTGAATAATCTTTATTCAAAATAATTAATTATTTAATTTTTTTAATAAATAAATTAGATATTTATTTATTAAAAAATAATCAAGAAACGATATAAACAATGCCTTTTATTCTTCTACAATATTCATTAATTATAAATATTGGCACATATAGTTAGTAAATATATTAGAACATTACTTTTATATTCAATTACATACCATATTCTCTCCCTCCTCCCCATTTAGCTAATGTTATCGTCCGAAAATCGAGAGGGGGAATATTATGCGATAATTTCCGAAGAATTGGTTTACAATAAGAACATAACAAACGGAAAAGTAGTCATGAATTAATTGCTGGTAACTGCAGCTATCACAATATTATTTCTGTAACGGAAATTTATATTTCAATAAGAATACATAATAATACTAATATTATAGTAGCTGACGGTAATACAGCCAAGGGGTACCACTGCAACAGGGGCATTTCCAACAGGGACATCGGAGGAGTGAAGAAGAGAGCGAGTAAAAGACTCAGATTTCGAAAGAGCAGATACATCAGTAGTAAATAAGGCAACAATGAGTTGAAGCGTAAACAGCAGAAGTAAGATGAAGTCACATGTTTCCTCAGTTTCGTAAGTGTGAGAACACCTACCACTTCCGGATAGTTTAAAAAAGAATCTACATAAAATACGTTTCAAATAATAAATGCAAGGGGAAAGAAAATGGATGAAATGCTAACATAAAAATGCAAATACAAATAGTATACACTGAAAAAAAAAAAAAAATAAGAATGAATACAAATTACCCATAAAACTGACCATCAGAATGAAAAACTATGTACAATAAAAGGAAGGAGAAATAATGTGAATATTTTTAAATTTGCAAAACCTAGCGCTAAAAGGCTAGGGAGAAAATAGGAGGGAATAAGGTAATTTTTAATTTATAAGCTTTCGATTTTAGACAACAAATTTAATATCATTAAGGCAATTGTTTATAAGTAGGGATAGATAATTTACGCATTAAAAAATAGAAATTTCGAGAAAATAAAAAGTAAAAAATTAGAATTTCGCATTTATTTGTAGAATAAATGAATAAAGTCAAAACTCGAATTTTCCTAATTTATTGGGATCAAATAAACTACTTCATTAAAAAAAAAAGTTTAAAGCTAGAATCCTTGCAGTCTTAATATTCTCTGACTTGAATAGTTGTCTTCTCGCCTCCTGTCGATAACTACGATGTTATAGATACTAAAATATCTCTCAACATCTACACTGTTAATATGACTGGCTTGTTTTGTTTTTGTGATATAATTCTGTTTCTTTAAAAATCTATAAGTCATCAACGTTAATATCTTGACCCCTGTAAGAAGTCCTTTATGAAAACGATTATATCCGTCAACGAGCTCGATGTTTTCGAATATTTTTGAAACAAATGTTTTAGAGAAGCTTTCCAATAATACGTTCGACTTCGAAGTTGATATAGGAGAGATCTCATCTACAAAGTACAAAATAATCTGAAAGTGTGTTTAAAGGATTCATTTGTTGCTTTGAAAATAATTTGTAGAGTCAATTTATTTAAACTCTTCTCTGTTGCTGTCATCATTTGTTGTGTCATTTTGCACTTTAGGCCAATTTCATATTTTTCATTTGTCAAAATCAATTCTGTCTTATTCCCCAAATAACAGTCAACTAGGCTTTCAAGAAAAAGCCTTAAATACTCTGATTGACTTCACAATATATGAGCGAATGCATGTAGTTTGATCTTTTTAAAATCTGGATCAGTCTCAGAAATTTTCAGCTAGAACTTAGAAACAAAATTAATTTGAACCGGTATTTTATAAGATAAAATTTCAAAACATTCCTTTTGGAAGGCAATGCTCAAATTGTCATCTTCTTATTCATTGAAAAAAGAAACGGTATGCTTCATGTATTCCCTCAAATAACTTCAACCTAAGAATGCTATCTATGACTCTATAGGATAAAGTTTTGCTCCCAGCTGAGGTGTCTTTTCTTTTAAATATCTTCAGGATGCATTTTTCATTTTTACCTCCTTGTACGAAGTAAAGGATGTATCATTATCGTAAATGAGAATGTAAAATTTCAGGTATTATAAATTTCAATGGAAATATCCATTTTGAATTTTGACTTTTTTTTCCCGTGACGTCCGTATGTACTGATAAAATAAAGGATTCTTTTTTCCAAAATGGATTCCAACTAGAATTTTTTGTGAAGTCTGCACGTACATATGGACTCGCATAAAACTCAAAAAAGATTAGCCGTAGAACGTTTAACTTTTGTAAATGGAACTGCTGCAACATCTAGTTGTGCATATATATATATATATATATATATATATGCACAACTAGATGTTGATATATATATATATATATATATAGTATATACATATATATATATAGTATATATATAAGGTGACTTTTTTGGAGATGTTGGAATTCCAGTTTTTAAGTTTACTGGTGCGAAAACTGAAATCTCTTCTTTTATCGTATATATATATATATGTGTGTGTGTGTAAGATATCACAAAATACGATGGCTGCTTTAAAAAATAATTGCCGACCTCAAAATTAACATTCTAAATTTGGTACTCTCCTCCCTAAATTCATCTATTCTCCCAAATTCGAGATATTTCCATGTTGCATAAAGTACAGATGCCTCCTGCTCAATCAAATAATTGTAAACCAAAACTTTCTCTAACTCGAACTGAAACTATCAACTTCCTCCTTCTTCCTTTGAACTGCTGCGTTCTCTTTCGGTTACGCTTCCCTACTGGCAAGATGCTGCTGTTGGTTTGCCTAAGATGACACCATACTTTAAAATGGAACTTACTGTATTCTACTATAATTAAGAAATATCTTGTCTGCAAAAGGATGATTTGATACGCGTATCAAATATTTAAGAAAAAAGACCAAACTGGATTTATACAGAAAGGAATATCTGCTGTGAGACTTCTAATAAGAAAAAAATTTAATGAAAAATATAAAATTAAACAAGAAGATGGACATTAAAAATAATGTTGATATAAATCAGACACTGACAAAACATGGGCGTTTCCGGGCTTATTTTAATCGGTTACATCTACAGACTAATGATAAGTACCTAATATGTGATAGGTTTGGGGACGCCAGGCACTTTGTCGATAAATGTAGGCTTACCCAGAGTGCAAGAGAGAAATATAGGAAGAATTTTAAGGAAGATTTTAAAAGGAACTATTCAAATTTTAAAGATTTTGCAAAGACAGTAATGAAGATTATAAACACGAACAAAGATAGAATTGGAATTCGGCACTGAGACTCAGATTTTGGACTTTAAATTTTTTTCCTATGTTTTTTGACTAGCCAGTCCTACTCTTTGGTCATATGAACGGCTTGTGCGGGCTGGGAGGATCGGGGCTGTGCCCTTATGATGATGATGATGATGATGCGAGAATCAGCAGGCTTGTTTATCTCATTAATGTGAGGAAAAAGGCAAGTTTACTATGTATGTAGTTCATTAAACACAAAGTCAGTTGATGGATTCAAAAAGGTACACATATTATTTGTGAAAGAAGTTTTATGGAACCTGTTTTACTACTTTTTTTAATTCACGAAAATTTTTTTTCCGTAAATGCGTCATGAAGATTTTCTACTACTTTGGAAAAATTATTGAATTGTATCGATAATATTTAGGAACCCATCTCCCTTGAGTAAAATCTGTTTATTGGATTAATATTTGCTGCCGCCTCAGAACGTTTATACATTTATCATCTGGAATCTGAGTATATAATTGTGAATAGAACTGCATAACTTCATGATAATTATACTTGCCATCGAGGTTATGCACAATAAAAATGTTTTTCTACTTTCTAAAGAAGACAGACTTAAAAAGTATAGGCTGCTCAAAAAAGCATTATCTTCAATTAGGCAGCATTAACTTCATTAGATATTATATTATCATATTGTCATTACTTCTTCGGCCTTCATATTTAGGTCGAACCCTATTCGGTTTATACCTTAAGCAGAATATTTATGATGTCGGTCATTGTGAGATAACGAAATAAACTACTACTTTTGTTTTTAGAACCTTCAAAATTTGCTAACTTAAATGAAGTTATTGAAAAATGTTAGTATAATACTCACCCAGTGCTATCTATTAAGAATAATGATTCACCGTTTGAGCTGCGAGCGTATAGATTTCGAGCAAATATAGCAAACGCACCTGAAATACATATTTGAAATTTGTAATGAAATTTAATAAATGAAAAAGCGCAACGCAATATAGAGTTGAAAACATTAACTTTCTACGTACTGGATGATTCTCTCAGCTCAATTTTAAGCGTAAGTTCCTCTCCAAGACCTACGGCTCTGGCATCTCTTCCTGTTCTGTCCAGGACTCTCATCGCTACATTTGGTGGAGGTGCTGTATTTGTCACAACAGCTGTTAGAGGAGCTTTATGGTATGTCCTCCTGAAAAATCAAATGCCTGTTCAAAAAAGCTCTATACTGCTTGAAAGAAAATTCCAGTTGTTGACATTTTAAATTGATTATCTTAAATTATTTAAATAATAAAGTATTATTTAAACTACTCAATTTAAAGTGAAATTGAAAACTTGTTTACCAATTAGAAAAATAGCATTGAAATCCTATACTGCATTTCGATTTGCCCTACAACCACTGATTTGCACACTAGATGATAATGTAGGAGAAATGTATTGTTTTATTGATGAATTTCCATATAAACAAGTATAATTTCGTGTTATTACGAATTTTGCATAATGTAGCATGAAACGTCCGAAGCGAATGAAGATGCGCAGGAAAAATAAGGTTACAAGACAAGTCTACATTGAGGCAAATCGCTATCTCGCTATATTGGAGAGATATCACCAAGCTGGCGAAAGTTTTGGCGACTAATTTGACTACGCCACACTTCGCGTCCATTTGGTGACATTTTGATCAGGCCCCTGTATAACTGTAATTGAATAATTGTAATTGATTCCTATATGTGACTGCAACAGTATCCGGGCCCTATATGTAGTTCTAACGTATATGCCTTCAATTAATTTCAAGAAACGGGAGCTACTAGACATTTCTTGTTGGCCCGGGGTAAACAATATAAGCCCGGAGACTCAGGATCAGTTCTGAAATATTCAGCGTCGAGCGTCGAAGGGCCCAAACTCTATCTGAATTGGTAAAATAATGCTATAATTATGAGCAATAATGTGCTATATTCATATTCGTATTCGTACATCGACTCGTACATTCGTACATCGACGAGTTTTTCAGTTCAGAGTAACCTTGGGAGTACTGAGAGATCTCCGTGCATGATTCGCTCTTTAGATGAGCTTTGCATTGCATTGTGTTTAACGTTATTAGCAGTTTGAAGTGTAACTACTAATTGTACTCTGTGCTACTGTGAAGAACAACAGTCTGAACTTTATAACTTGCTTTCGATTTGTTTGATGCAGCTTGAATGCTGCGAATGAGATTCAGATTAATTCTAGATTAGATTAATTTGATTTGGTATTCTAATAAATTCCCTTTAAAACTAGACTGAATGTTGATTTAGATATAAATACCACTGAATCACACATGCAGCAATTTAGATGTGGCGTTAGATTTATTTTAGAACTTTGTTAGATAAGCCACGCCATTTGTCTACTGAACAATATATATAAATGTTGGTGATAAAGGCACATTTTTCATATCTCAGACTGATATAAATGGAATAAGAAAGTATTCTAAGAAAATCATATATGATAATTTAAACACCGAATGTCACTGAAGTGAAAATGCAAAACTAAGAAACTGTCATTAATTTTCGGGAGGTTTAGTTTTTAAATAAATATTTTCATTTGCACTTACAGAAACACATTCATTTGTAGGGCCATGTTCGGCTGTTCATTTCAGATAATTTTATTTTTCAAGACACTTTTAATTAACGAATAATTAACACTTTTAATTAACTGAGTTATTATGGAATGGAAATATAATTAATGTGTAGGTAGAGAATCTAATTTTTTGTTAATTTGTGGTATTACTGGTTATTTTATCAGAAAAGAGTAGTAGTAAATTTATGTAGTAACCATTTATATTTCTTTAAATGTACGTAAATAATTTATGCATCAAATATTTATTCTGTGGAAGTTATTTCTGTTTTTCATGGTGACTATTATGATGGTTAATTATTGCGAAGCACCTCAAGGTTTGTCTGCCTTAGAAGGTATTGCCTTTGTGAAGGACATTATGTAAGAAATACTTCATATTCACATTATATATAGACGTAATTTTAGACTATTACGAACGAACTCGTAATATTCTCAAATTTATTGATCAAATTGTTTAAATGTAAGCTACCCTTAAGTGCTGAAAGGATTTGATGCTGTTAAGTATTAAAGTGCATATTATTAAACATTTTTATTACATAATTAAGTCCGCTTAAATTTAAGGATGAGAAAATTTAGCTTACATATTTGAATTAGACTTTTTTTTTAAATATTTTATTTCAGATTAGATTAATCACTTACTTTAGAAAGAGTTATCACGAGATAACTGAGAGGAATAATACAAGTTTTAAAGTCAGTCTGGGAACTTCATTAATTTTTTATATTTATCTTCTTCTCTATCGACTTTATAAATTTACATTTTTAGTCAAATGTTTAAAATGCCTGCTTTAAAAACAGTGCTAAGACCAAGCTTTTTTAAATACAGTTTTTATACGTTTAGCAGGTTAGCAAATTCACACCATGAAACTTCAACATATATTTCACTGAGATTATTATTAAGCTCGAATGTAAGTAATGGACTGCACTCAATTAGACTTATTTTGAATAGAAAACTACTTACGCGACGTCCACTCCAGAACCTCCTACTCCTGGTCCAGCCATAGTATACGTTCTTTCTTGAGTTTCGAAAGAGCAAATGACTTTAATAGTCTTGTCGTGATCAGTCATGATAACTGGATGTTGCTGTACGACCACTTCGTTCACGAACTGGTCAGTTGACTATAGCAAATAAAATAAATTCATTATACGAGGGATGTAAATTATGTAACGGCAACATAGGTATAAAACAATTTTTAATGAACTTACAAGTACAATTGCATTATTCTTTCTATAATTATTCTTTCTATGTAATCACCAGCAAAGTTTATAACCTTTTGCCAAATGTCGGGAAGCCGTTGTAGACCAGTGGGAAGGTGTTGATTGTTGATGTGAGCGACCGACCGCCTTACTTCGGGGAGTACAGATGAAACACCATGAAATCGATGACCTCAGAGGGGTCCCTTCAACTTCGGAAACAGATCGAAGTCACAAGGACTCATGTCGGGTGAGTAGGGAGGGTGTTCCAGGTTTTCTCACTGCCACTGTCGCAAAAGGAAAGTGACATTGTTTGCGACCTGGCAACGAGCGTTGTCATGCAATACGATAGGGAGATTGTTGTGCAATAAATGTGGACATTTGCGCCGGCAATAGTAATATGCGTTGACAGTTTGTCCTTCAGGTACAGCATGTGTAAGAATCACACCGTCTAAGTCGTATGCCATAATCAGCATAACGCTTTAATTCAGGCTCATAGGCTCGTGCCCATGTCTCATTAATGGCGACAATACGCTGTAGAAATGCGTTTCCTTCCTTGCGGTATCTCTCCAAGTGGGTGCCAGCCAGTGCATACCGGTGCCATTTCTGTATTTCGGTTAGTCGATGTGGAACCCAGCGGGAAGCAATTTTTCCTCGTGTTGAGAGATTTCTTCATTATGCGCCACACCGTTTGATGATTCAGACTAACCTCTAAGGATAATTCTCGGAAAGTCCATCGGCGGTCTATAGTAAGGCGGCCGTTCAGGATGTCAATCTGCTCTTGAGAAATGGAGGGCCGACCTGTGCATTGCAAATCCGCAGTCTCATTCCGACCCGAACGAAATGCTATCCCATCGTGCTACTGTCCTATACGGTAAAGCATTTGTGCCACAGGCTTCCACTAATCCTTCCCTAGGCATTCTGTTGCATTTTTACCACGGGCAACCTCGATTTTAAGCCACGACCTCTCATTACCTTTTGAAAACATGCTTTAGAGCGATTGAAACGAAACTCCTAACTTTAACGCCACACAACAACTACCCTTGTAAGCAGATCGACTGTTTTTTGCACTCTACACATCGACAACAGCGCCACCTCACCGCTCCCATATCCTATTTGCGCATGCCCGCCCTTCTGCGAATTTCAAGGTTAAGTTGCCACTATTTAATTTACAACCCCCGTATTTACCAACCCGAAATTAGAGAACAATTTTAAAAGGCAATTAACTTTTGATTTACATCATTATATTAGTTTTTGATTTATATCATGAGTCGATTTATTTTGTTACCTTTGCTGCTTATTGTTGTGTATATTCGTTATTTAATTTTGCCTAATCTTATCGCAAAGTGTCAAAATGTATATGCAACTTTAAAAGTTGGATTTATTCTCTACTTTTTAATTCTTCCATTCTCACTCTCATGCAGTTCATACAGTAGCATGTTTCATGCTTTCACTTATTTGGTTCTTAATTTAGAAGGCTAATTTATTTAATTGCATTTGTAATATTCTAATATAATATATTTGAAAAATTAAATTAAATTAAAATTAATCTTTAAAATAATCGAACGGAATGATATTTCTATTTAGTAGTTAACAAGAATTCGCAGATAATGATGATTTATATGCTTGAACATTGAAATGTATTTTAACGTAACTTACATAAATTAATAGCATGTGATCAGATTTCTAGTGGACAGCCTAACATTTGTGAATACATATATAAATGTGCCGAGAGGAGGAAATGTTAGTGACAAATATACTCTCAATTAACGTTAAGATTTTTCCCCGTCAAAATTTAATTAACGGAAAATCTTTTCAGTTTGGTTAGTGCTGATTTCACGTGAATTCAGAAGTTAATCAACTATGCAAACAAATATGCGTAGGCCGTTTTACATTTAATGCGTTGTCTTTTAACTTTTAACCGAATAAATTTAAGTTTTCAATTTCTTAGTGTGCTTTCAATCTCAAAATATTATTTCATACAAATTAAATAAAAATGAAATTTTTGTGTTAATGTGTAATACTAATTCTATGAAATTTGATATATTTTGTAAAAATTTTTCAGTTTTAGCTCAGAATTCCAAAATATATGCATGTCTGTTTTAATTATATATTTTTTTACAGGCTTGTTAGCAATAACTATTGATAGTATGAATTTACTATCAATAGTTATTATTGTATCTTAAAAGAGAGGAAACGTTTATTTTAATGCCTACCATTTATTGTTAATCGGTTTAAATAATACTGATACCAAACTATGAATGTTTTATTTTTTTAAATTATACTCACAATTCATACAAGATTCTGTGCATGAAATCGCGTAATTCAGCAAATGTGGAATAATGTGAAGTAAATATATTGACAGGTAAAGGACCTCTTTCACCTTTCTGTATTTTCTCGAATAAGTGGCTTACGTGACCACTCGTGCGGTGCGCATCGTTAGGCACGTACGTCGAGGAGATCTTAACAAAAAGGGGTTAAAAAGACTGTCAGACAAACCGAATAGAAAGGTGGAGATTAACTCTTTCTCTTTGATATTTTCCTACGCGGATATATAAAGGAGCGTCGCTCCTCGCATCTATATATATATATTATATATGTGTGTGTGTGTGTGTATCAAAATTAATTTAAACTAGCAACAGCCCTTAATTCCCCCCTCTCTGTTCTAAAAATAGAAATAACTTTTCTGGAATGAGTCATTTGTAGATCAATCTACTGTGTTATAATGGCTTGCATGACGTTGATGACGTAGCTGATTCGGAACTCGAATTCAAAATTTAGAGAACTGAAAACATTCTCTTGGTGAGCTTCCATGTTGGATTAGCTGCGCACTTTTGCTTCTACCTCTGTTCCGTTAAGACGCTGCCTGACTGCATTGTTCCTATCACAACTGCATAAAAAATGTAAATGTTCTTGAATAGGCACGATTAGAGTGCCAGGTAGCTTGTGGCTGCAAATGTCAATTCAAATAAATATGAATATTTAATATGCTTCGACTGCCAATTTTGTTCATTATGGATTCAACATTCTACGTTCTATGCTAACAACGTTACTACGCTATCAATATTTCTACATCATAACTTCTAAGTTTGCCTTACAGTGAGTGTCTGCTTCGTTACACACGCACACATACACATATGTGATAAAAATCATTCAGAAGTAATGACGAACGGGAATTTTGATAACATAGAAGTGTTGATGCATAATGAATAGGAAATTGAAGGTGAAGGCAGATTAAATCTTCATTTTTATTTCCTTGTACGAAGTAAAAAGGAAGTATTGTAATCGCGAAAAGTTTCAGGCAGCATATTTCAACGAAAATATCCATTTTGACCGATATCGAATGCAATTTAACGATGTTTTTGCGTGATATCTGTACGTAAGGACAGAATAAAAGACATGTTTCCTCCAAAAAATTTTAAAACTGCTTTAAAATGAATTCTGAAGAGAATTTTTCGTGGCGTCTGTACGAACGTATGTACGTACGTATCTCGCCATAACTCAAAAACGAGTAGCCTCAGACGTTTGAATTTTGTATATAGGACTGCTATAACATGTAGATGTGCATCTCGTATTTTGGTTGCAATCGGCCGCAACCCCAAACGTATATAATAGATTTATATATATTTATATATATATCCACTCTGTTACCCGGTTCAGTGATCTCAGTTTCTTTACTCGTATATGTTTGTAAAATGTAATTTTTTTGCTTTAAAAATGATTGAATTATGTTGTTTTTATCTTCCGGTTAAGGTTTTTATGCCTTTAGTAAATCGGTATGCAATAGTTTTAGAATTATCAACAATTTTAAATTAAGTGCCGCTAAGCCTTTTTTTTATGGCGGCCATTGATTGTTTACATTCGAAACAGCATACTAGTGGATTTGTTGCTAATCTAGAGAAACTTAGCTTCGCAACAACAAAGATAACGCCTTCATTTATTATTGCCAATTAAATCATGCTTAATCCTTTCTGGAATATTTTCGAGGAAATAAGTGTTTAAGATTTACTTCGTAATTTTTAATATAGATATTTTGAATTTTTATGTATTTTTACCTTCTCGCGAAGTGAGAACTTTTGTTTTTATGTAAATCATAAAATTTTTATCAGCAATAATTAAATAAATAAATGTAAAGTATAATTTATAAATATCAATTTTTAAAAATAAATTAAGTTTTTAGAGTGCTTTTAAAATTTTTTCAGCATTTTAGTCTAAAAGTCTTTTTGTTTGAAAGTTCACATAATCATAGTTCTTCAGGGAAGGCTCTTGTTATCACAGAGTATTAGAAATAAAATCTTTTACATAATCAATTACTTATAATTAATGTAACACACATAAATATTTATGATACTAATTTTCCATATAAGTTACATTTTAACACCATAAATGTAATAAGAACATTTTGATAAATTATGGATTCATCGTTATTATCTTTCATTTGCAATTTCTAATTTTACCAAACTGAAGGCTCCGTAGTACTTCTAAACAAACATATCCATCTATAGGGCTGTCCTCTTGAGCTAACCAGTGTTTTCTGCTCTGGTGGCTTAGGGTGCCTAGGAAGTTATTTGAAGAGGCCTAATATGTAAGATACAAAATATAAAAGCAAACTTCTAATTTTAACTGGCTGTCCTCTTTTTTTTTATTTAATTCGGGGGGCATCGTCTCTGCCTCTTAAAAATAGCGCTTATGTCTAAACTGCGTCATTCAAATTAATCATGCGATCTTACGTAACGCTTAATGCAGATACCTCTTGTCTAATCAAATAATTGTAAACTAAAACTCGGAACTGAATCTTTTCGACTCCCTTCCTTCTTCCTCTGAAGTACTCCGACACTCTTCCCTTTCTTGCTTATGCTTTCATCCTGTTAAGACGCTTCTGCAATCATCTATGTTCGTTTCCATTGCCATAGTATAAA